AGGTTAAAAACTCTGCCTCCAGTGCCAAATGGCCTGATCACTTCAGGATTAACTTCACCATGACTCAGTTTCCTCAAGATAGGGAGTACTGACAACGTGTCTCATAGGGTTGCTAGGAGAATTAATGAGTTTCATATACATAAAGTGCATAAAATAATGTCTGGGGCCTCTCTGGTGGTACAGGAGTTAAAAGCACAGCACTATGAAGCTATCCACAACCCCTGCAGCATGAGTTCTATCCATGGCCAAGCTCAGCAGACCTCTCTTGTCTTGCCCAATGCTCTCCCCAACAATGCATTTCACACAATCTGCCTGTTCTGTTCTCTAGTATCTCTGGTGAATCCTCTCATCCCCTGCTGCATCTCTGGCCTGTACCCCAGTTCTTGTATGCATAAATAATCTTTAACAATGTTTGACATATTGTAAACATGAAAATATTTAGCTACTCTTTCCCTCTGGGTTCTTTTTCAACTGATGTCATTAGGATGAAAACTCCAGGAGGGCCAGGACATAACTGTGCACCAAGGCTTACCGAAGTGCTTGCAATGAACAGGTGTCCTTTAAGCAGTATTTTTTCACTGAATCTTCCAAACCACCCAGCATGATAGATGATGTTACTACTATTTCATAAAGGAATCATGGGCTTAAAACCAAAATAACCTGACCCAAGTCAGACTGCTACTGAACTGGTAGCTAGGACTTGGGTCACAATCTATGTATCAGACTCCAAGGCCTAGGTCTTCCCACAAAGCCACAAAGAACAAGACCTGTTAATAACATCCATTAGATTCAGTTGCTTTCCTAAGGGCATGATTAAAAACAAAACTACATGCAAGGTTATACTAAAAATTAACAGTAGTTTTAGCAATCTTGGCAGCAAAAATGGAGCAGGGAAAAAAAAAAATCAAAATCTGTGCCCTCCCTGGTGGTGCAGCTGGTGAAAGCACAGCACTGGGAAGCTTAAGCCACGTTCACATGAGTTCGATTCCACCTGCGCCGAGGAGATCCACATGGCGAGGCAGACCTCTCCTGACCCTCCTGCTGCTCCCCTCAGCAGTGTACTTCGTCGATCTGCCTGTTCTGCTCCCCACTCTGTCACTGGTGAATCCTCTCACCCCCTCCGCATCTCTGTACTCCAGTTCTATATGAATAAATCTTTAAAAAAAAAATCAAAACCTAAGCCCAAAGCCAGAATCTCAACTATCACTCTGAAAATTATCAGTACCCCTGTCATTGGCATTTTTTTTTTAAAGATTTATTTATTCATATAGAACTGGGGTACAGGCCAGAGATGTGGAGGGTGAGAGGATTCACCAGAAACAGAGCAGGGAGCAGAACAGGCAGACCGACGAAGTACACTGCTGAGGGGAGCAGCGGGCGGGTCAGGAGAGGTCTGCCGCACCACGTGGATCACCTCCGGGGCAGGCGGGAATCAAACTCATGCTGAAGTGGCTTAAGCTTCTCAGTGCTGTGCTTTAACCCGCTGCGCCACCAGGGAGGGCCCCCTGTCATTGGCATTTTTAAAAAAAAATTAATTTATTTATACCTACAAGAGCTAGGGTATAGACCAAAGAAGCAGGGGGTGAGAGGATTCCCCAGAGACAGGCAGTTCCACTGAAACACACTGCTGAGGGGAGCAGTGGGCAAGACAGGAGGGGTCTGCCTGGCAAGTTGGTCACTTCTCTGGCTGGGGATCAAACTCATGCTGCAGGGGTTGCAGATTGCTTCATATTGTTCCATCTTAACCCCTTGAGACACCAGGGAGGCCCCTGCTCTTGGCATTTGAGTCCCAAATGGATGTCACTAACTTTTGAGTTCTTATTTAACCTTCTACCTTATGCTTCACGGTGGGCAGGGGGCTTAGGACAACTGTTGAGGTAAGCAGCAGGACTCTCTCTCTCGAGGTTAAAGTCTTTTTTAAAAAAGATTTATTTATTTTATGCATACAAGAACTGGGGTACAGGCCAGAGATGTTGGGGGGGCAGAGCGACAAGAGGATTCACTAGAGACAAGAGTGAGGGGCAGAACAGGCAGATCAAATGAAATACATTGCTGAGGGGAGTAGTGGGTGTGTCAGGAGAGGTCTGTCACACCACATGGGTCACCTCCCTGGCAGGAATTGAACTAATGCTGCAGTGGCTGCGGTAGCTTCATAGTACTGTACTTTAACCCACTGCACCACCAGGGAGGGCCAAGAGGTAAGAATCTTAATAGGGCCAACAGGACCCTGAAGCTCTGCCTCTAAAAAACCCCTTACATTCAAAAGAAGCAAAGAAAATGGATAAAACAAAGGTTAAGAAATCTTTTCTCAGGGGTGGGGAGGGGAACAGGATCAAAACTGGGATGGCAAGAGTGCACAGGACTATGGTGATGGCACATGGGTGGTGGGAAGTACACAAGGATTACAACTGAGATGAAAAAATCCACAAAATGAAGAATGATGTTAAAATAAAGAAATCTTTCCTTTTTCTCATACTAGAGCACACCTGAAGGGCTAAATGTCATAAGATGGTGGCAATTCAAGGTGTTCCTGAACAGTTGTTATCAGCTACTAATTAGTCAAATACCCTTACTGAAAATGCAACTGAACACATTTTCAAACCACATCAAGGTAGATGAACTCAAGTCTAGAAGATTGCCTACATACCACAATCACTGATCTGCAGTAGAGCATGATCACAACTGATACCAAGTGCTCACATGTGGCAATTCCCCTACACCCTCCCAAATTATTTGAAATCAATAGAACCAACTCAAATCTTTTTTCTTGTCTTTTTTGAAGATTTTTATTTATTTATGCATAAAGAACTGGGGTACAGACTAGAGTTGTGGAGGGGTGAGAAGATTCAGCAGAGAGTGGGAAGCAGAACAGGCAGATCTACTGAAATAACTGCTGAGGGGAGCAGTGGGCAGGGCAGGAGAGGTCTGCCACGCCATGTGGGTCACCTCCCTGGCCAGGGATCCAACTCATGCTGCAGTGGCTGCAGTAGATTCATAATGCTGTGCTTTAACCTGCTGTGTTACCAGGGAGGGCCCCCAACTCAAATTTTAAGGACCTCTAGACCTAGCATTTCTCTGGAGGCGGCTAAGCAAACAATTCAATCAATACTCTCAACTAGTGACCAAAGGAAGAGTTAAAGCCTTTCTGCATTAAAAATATATTAGAAGGCATTTTTTTTAAAGATTTATTTATTTATGCATACAAGACCGGAGGTGTGGAGTTTGGGGGGTGGGGATGAGAGGATTTACCAGAGACAGAATGGGGAGGAGTGGGCAAGACAGGAGATGTCTGCTGTGTCATACGGGTCACCTCCCTGGCAGGGATGGAACTCATGCTGCAGGGGTTGCAGATAACTTCACAGTGCTGTGACTTAACCCGCTGAGCCACCAGGGAGGCCTCTGGAAGGCATTTTTTTAAAATTTTATTACATAAATATTAATGTATGGAAAATTTCAAACATTAAGTGGAAGGAATAGTATAATCAACCCAACATACAGATTTAACAGTATTCAACATATGGCCAATCTTATTTACCTATATATCCTACCTACTCAATCTCTTTTCCTTCTAATGAATGATTTGAAAGCATGTTTTCAAAGGTACAAAAATTATCTGTCAGAACACAAAAAAAAAAACAGAAAGTGAACTACAGGTCAAGATTGTGAAGTAAGCCAGGGTGTTGGTAGTAGATTAAGACTTTGCACTTAAAACATCAACCACTATCTGCAATTTTATCCAATCTTTATCTTTAGGTTTGAGACTTTCCTACTCCTACTCCAACAAAATGGCTACTGTACCACAACTAAGTAGCCACAAATTCAGCTCCCAACATCCACTACAATGAACAAAGACATTTTGCTTCAATATCTTAGACTATAGCAGAAGGCAGCTCAGAATAATAGTATTTTATACAATATAGAGCTGTCTCATCAGCTTAAAACACTCCTCCTCACATATTCTACCTCTTGTAAAAATGTGTGTGAATTTGTTCTCGCCCTCCCCCCAAACCTCATAAAACTACCAACAAGGATACTGTGATCACAGTATAGTAACTGAATGGTCACTGTGAAGCCAGTTCCTTTTACGGAACTGAAGTCAGGTATAAAAACCATTGCTTTCTGAAAGCATGTATTATCAAGACCCTTCCAAGCCTTCAGATGGTTACTCAGCTCAACTCAAGGGTCACTCTAAAAGTCAGCAGTGGTTGCCTTACTTTCTTACTGCTTGTCCACTTTAGATCAATGTAAATGAACTAGTTAAAACAACTTCCAGCAGGTGGAAGCAACAGCCACACTTGACAAAAAGCTGAAGAAAGGAGCAGGAATCACTGGGTTTGATATTTTACTCAAGGTCTCCTAATCAAGCAAACATCAAAGCATTTTCCACGTTAAAAAGGGTCAATGCATGCTTAACTTGCAACACTCAACAGGTCCTGGCCTTTGCTAGGGTCAACAACAAAGGCCAGGTGGGGACACCCTCAGGAATAGTGAACCCTCCATATCTCTGGCTTACAATCTATCTACAGATCTCATCATAAGTTTATTTAAGTTTGCTTTCTTTTTAATAAAAAGAATGCTGAAAGCACAACCTGGTTCCCTTAAGTACCAACTATAAAGTGTCAGAAGCTCAAAATGACTGAATTATGTAAGTGTCTAATCTAATCAACAATGTCAATTGTATTCTGCTCAAATCAAGGAATGGTGTAATAACCACTTATAGCAAAATGGATAGCCAATGTTGGTATTTCATCCTAAATTTATGTCAAATATTCCGAAGTTCACTTCTATTGATTCCGGCTGTCAGCTGTCTTCTCTGCTAGAAAATACCCATTATGTCAGTTTTGGTGTTGGCCTCAGCTATCACGGTTTTCCTGACAGTTCATAGATTTCTTGAGGAAAAATTTTTTTTTTAAATGATAGGGTGCTTTAAGATCTACCCACTGGAGCATTTACTTGCCAAGATAGAGAGGATTGGGGAGAAAACTATGGTTTCAGGTAATAGAAGTTGCTAATGTTTATAAACAGATTTAGAGATCAGAGTTTTGAGAAGAACGATATGACTGACTGGGTAGGAGGGCTTCACGTCCCTGGCTAGAAGACAAGAACAGACTCTAGGCTTTGGGGTTACAATCTAGGTTCAAGCCCCAGATCTGACTGACCACATATGGGCTAGGCAAATTCAGACTGCTTGGCCCATATCTGTGGACTGGGCTCCTGTTACCATATAGGAGTTATTTGTGATCATCCAATAAGTAAGACATGAAAAGCACAATTCTGGCAATTCTTGCTCTGAGTTTAATACACTTTCTAGAAAAATAAGCTCCTTCATAATAATTCTATTACGAACTATCCTGTAGTCCAAAAGTTATTATTAACATGGGATTATTATTCCAGTTACCTTGACGTCTGTCCTTTTTGGAGAGCATAAGCTTCTAATAAGTCATCTATTATTCTTTTCATTGTGAGAGATCAGAAAAACACAAAAATACTGAACTCTGTGAGGGTTGTACACAGTTTTATTTTACCACTTAAGCTTATAGACATACTAAAAAGAGACTGAATAATGCTTTTGTATCCAGCACTAATAGAATACTCAACATGTAGGTACATAGTGAGTTTAGTGGTACATAAGTAAGTGCTGTGTCAAAGTAGTTACATTTCAAACAATAACTAGATTAATATATCTGGAGAAGGGGGGAAAAGAGTCCAGATTCACCCTCTGAAGATAAATCTTATTCAGGAGCATGTCCTTATAACATTTGGGAAGAGGGGTGAAAAGTATATTTTCATCAGTTATTATTTAGCATCCGGATGTCCGTTTAAATCAAGCTTTTATACTGGAGAAACAGGCTGTTGTTTTCTTTGTAACCCAGAGAGTTGAACCAAAATTCAAATTAGTAATTACAAGTAGTAAAATGGCACCTGAACTCTAATTCTGGTCTACTTGTGGAATTATTCCAGGAAACAGATGAAAAACACACAAACGCTTTGGTATTTCATAATCATGTGTATATTTTTGAAGCCCCACTATACATATACAATATTGAAAACACTGGCTGCATGGTAAATTTCTCTTGAAAATACACATCTATCTATATGTTTCTAAAAGTTACAAAATGCACAGAATACATTTTTACATGAATTTAGCTTAAAGAAAAACATGAACACAGGAATAAAAACCTTTGTCTTTAGATGCCCCCTCCCTACCCTTTACATTGAGCCCTATAGTGAGGTGTCAAATCTTTCTGGGCTTCTGTTTCTCTCATTTTGTAAAATGAAAATATTTGTTACCTGCCTACATCAGAGGGGGAATGTGAATCTCCAGTAAGATGAAAAATTCTCTTAACAATTTTTAGCACACCAATATTAATAAACTCAAGGTGATGTAACAGTAATAGAAATTTTTCCAGAAGACTGTTAACATGTAGAATTTAATTACTTTCAATAATATCACTATAGCATATTTAGGGCAAAAGGCTTTATAAGTTTCTGAAGATAAACATAAGAAAGCCTCAAAAATTGACCTTGATCAGGAACTGCATTAATATCTTTTGTTATCTTAAAAAATTAATTTAGGGAAGGGTGGCAGACATTATTAAAATATGTATTAAAAACATAAAGGTATATGCAATGCTATTCCACCATCTAGGTCATGCTACTGGGATTATGGAAAATAATTACTTTAAAAGAGAGCAGATAAAAGGAATATCATTAATAATAGGGACCCTCTCCCAGAAGAGAAAAGTACAAGCAAACAAAGTAAAATAAACCAATATCCCAGCACAGGCCGAAACAACAACAAAAAACAAAGAACTTTTATTCTAATTATGTACAAGGTAATACTCACTGAAAGCAGAAAAGTTTGTATTGCCAGGGGAATAGCTATAACAGAAGAGTGTTACTTTGTTTCTGAAATGAATTTTCTTCCTTCTGATTCCATTCCTTCTTCCTGTACCTAAAATGGAAATGCAGGAACAGTGAAATAACAAAATCAATGTAGTGCCATGGTAAGATGATTTTTGAAAAATTACAACTCAACCGAGCAATTTCTAGGAAAGAAAATAGCCAGGGAACAGGCTCTCCTGACTTCAAAACACTTCAAAAGCTAAATATAAGGCAGCATTAGCAGTTCCATGCACTGAATCACCCCATCGCCTGGCGTCATCACCAGGGGAGGATACTGAGGATCAAAGGTTTTATTGAACCCAAACATGAGACATACATTAAAACTTCCTCCACAGCTAATTTATATCAAAACTTGCTCTGAGGTCAAGATACACCATTTCAAGGATCTCCACTGGTTTCAGAATACAAACATATTCCCAAATCCTCTGCAAAGATGGTGAAGAATTATTGGCCAGCAAGCCAGGACCCAGGTCCCAAGGACAGGCCATCTTGTTATCCCACGTGGAGATGATATCTGCTGGTGAGAATCATCCATTCTTGCTCTTAGTCTTGCATAAATCTCTTCATAATCTTCTCATCAACTTTCCCCACCCCCTAGTACTAGAGAATTAACCTATTCCCAAAGATGTAAACAGGAGAATTCAGGCCCCACCCACTCTTTCCAAGGAGAGGGCAGTGAAAGAGGATAGGCCCAGAGGAATAAGGGGGAGCGTGGCAAAAAGTGCCGGAGTTCAGATCAGGACAGGGAATGGAGGAGGGTAAGAATGAAGGGCAAAACCCATAGGCCCGGGAAGTAGAGTAAGGTGGAGGGATCATGGAAACAGAGGTTATGGGTGGATATGGAGGGAGAGACAGGGTGAGGTTGGAAAAAAAAGAGAAAACAGACGAATGAAGACAGTGAAGCAAAAAAGGACGAGGCGTGAGGGAGAGGAGAGCGCGGGGACGGCAAAGCTGGCAGAGGGAAAAGGTGAAAGGTGAGATAAGGGAAGTAAGGGAGGGAGAGGACCCGGCGCAGGGCGGAGTTGGGGAGACGAGAGCGACGGGTACAACAGCGAGGGCCAAGCCGCGGGGGTGGAATCCAGACACCCGGCGAGGGAGGGGGGCGGCGGGCGGGAGGACGGGGGTCCGCCAGGCGGCGCCGGAGACCCCCAAACTTTAGGCGGCCCAAAGACTGCTTCCTGGAAGGAGTGCAGAAAAGGAGCAGGAGCCGGAGCTGGAATCGTGCCCAGGGCGCCGGACAGGGGCTTCCGCCGCCCGGTCCCCAGGAGGGTCTCCCGACCCCCGCCCTGCCCTCAGCGAAGACACACGGTCCGCTGGCCCCGCCCGCCCCCTGCCCCCGATGCCCTGAGCCCCTCCCCTACGCGGCCCTGACCCCGGGGGTCCGCTCCCGGCCCCTACGCTCGGTCTGGGGCGGGGAGGCCCGGAGGGAGAGTAAAAGAGGGCGCGGTGCAGCCCGACTTTCCCACCTTTTCTCCTGGCCCAGACGCAGCCGGGGCGGACGGGACCTCTCGCGCTCTGCCTTCACCTCCTGCTTCATGGAGCCATGCGCCGAGGTGGGGGCTCCCGAGAGAAGCGGACCGGCGGGCGGGCCGGACGCGCGGCGCGGACGGGGCGGAGCGAAGAAGGCCGGCGGGCGGGCCGAGGAGGAAGCAGCGGGGCGGCGGGGCGGCGGTGGCGGCCGGGAAGAACTGCTGGAGGGATTTCCCGGGCAGCTGGAGGACTGAGTCGAGCCGGGACCCGAGTCCTCCGATATCCCAGCAGCCACCGGAGGCAGTGAGGTAATGGAGGAGGAATGTAGGGAGTCCTCCAGTGGACCACACGCCCTCTAGCGAGCCGCAAAAACCATAGAGATCAGGGAGTCGCCGAAGCACCGCCCCTACCGTCACGTGACCCGACACAGCGTACCCTATTGGCTGATGCCCAGTCTAGGGTTGAATTTAGGAGACTGCTTTCAATTCGCGGGTTAGAGTCCCAGGTGGTGGGACTGTCGGGCGCTATGGTGCCAAGAGTGACGAGAAGCCCGCTCGACCGGAGGTTGTTGAGCAGGCCGAGCCAGACGACCGACTAACAGGCCCGGGCGCGCGATGCACGCCGGGAGTTGTAGTGTGGGCAAGGCTGGTAGTATTGTCCCGGGGGCCGGCTGGGCTGCCCAGGCTGCATCCTCCTGCTTGAACAACTGACAGCCAGTTGCCTACGGCCTTCCTGCGAGTCCAAACTTTTGTCGTCTCGCCTTACCGGGTCGCAGCCCTCTCAAGCACCCAGACTGGCAGCCCAGAACTGCTTTAAATCAAGCCGACCCGCAGCTCTGGCTAGGCCTGAGGGAAACGAACCAGACTGGACCCCAGCCTCCTGATAGACTGCGCAGAGAGGAGCAGACTAGAGCCAGCTTTAGATGGTGTCAGGGGCTGGTTTTTATGCTGACTTACCGAATTTTGGACCGGAGACCACTGGAAAGAATTATCCACCATGGAGGGTTTTTCCACTAGACCAACAAAGCATATTCCTTCACGCAAGCAGAACAGGGTCGTCAAATGAACACTAGAAAGTGGTTTTTAGGGATTAAAAAAATTAGTGCTACATTGTTTAAATGTCTAATATTTGAATTTGATTTGACTTAGCACTTTCATTTCAATTGCACAGTAGCACTAAGTCTTATTTTTGTCCACCCTCATCACTCCAAACATAAGCTGTACAGCCCCTGTAGCATGTTTTAAGGAAGGGTAGTAGTCTTGTTAGAACATACTCGAGACCAGGGAAAGATTGCTTTGTGTTTTGCTGTTCTGTTTATGCACAAAAGAATTCTTAACGTGCTTGTCTTCAAGGAGCAAAGAAAAGTATCCAGTAAAAAATGCAAATCATATCTAACAGTAAAGCTTTCCAGCAAAAACCTTCTGCTCTAGAATGCATAATGTACTCAAGCATAAGATTTACTACTACAGACTTTTAGTATAATTACCTGAAGGCAGCAAAAAGGGAGGGAGGTGACTGATTACTCCTTCTTGGATCCAGAGCCCCCAAAGAGAACCTGGTAATGAACTACAGGAGAAGGGAGAGAGGGCTGTGTTTCTAGAGGGGACGTGACTTTTTAAATAGAGTGATATCTATAACATTTGTTAATGTTCCTGTCAGACTTGATGTACTTGTCTGCTGTTAAGGCCACATTTGCCAGTTTTAAACCTCTGTCTGCCTGAAAAGCTACAAATTAGATGATCATGTGGCCTAGAGCCAGAAAGGCAGGAGGCAGCAAGCCAGAAGTAATTTTTGTTTGGTTCTGAGTAAGAAGACAGAATCCTTTCTTAAAATAATCAGAATTTCACACAGTGAAGGTCTTTCCAACTGGAAGTCTTAAAACCTGGTATCTGGAAAAAGGCCTCAGTCTATGGCTCCCAGGGTGGTACTACATCTCATTAAGCAGCCCACAGATAAGGAAGTTATTGCTCCCTAGTTATCAAGCTGCCAAGAGGTAAATGATAGACTAAGTTGGACTTGAAACACTCCCAAATCAAAACAAAAACAAACACTACTCTGATCTGTCAAAAAGGTATTTTACTGAGCAGTTGGACCCGCATTCTTCTCCTACTGTAATCTATTGTTAATGGATGTCAAATGGCAGTGTTGGAACCTTAAAAAGAGCTCACTTTGGGGTCTCCTCATATCAACAAGCAACCCTCTGAACTAATGCAAAGATAAATAGGAACAGGAGGAAGAAACTGAAGGCAATATATGCCATAAATATGGAAGATACTAAGTCTTATTTTCTCATTCCTACACATATACAGAAACCTGGTATGCAGTAAGCATGCAATAATTATTTGTAGCCTGGGTGAGTAAGTGAATAAGAAAGCCTTAACATGAGTGGAAAGTAATCTGGTTGGGGAACAGCACTGTAGAGAAGTTCAAGCTTTCTCTTTATATGATCTTGAACTATCTTTCTAATCTGCCATGACATAGTTGAATCACTCTTTACCAAAATACCTCAAAACAAGTCATCTGCCCTCATGATACCAGCTTTCCTTTTTTTTTTTAAAGTTTTATTTATGCATGCAGAACTGGGGTACAGGACAGAGGTGCAGGAGCAGTGAGAGGATTCACCAGAGACAGAGTGGGGAGCAGAACAGGCCGACTGATGAAGTACACTGCTGAGGGGAGCAGCGGGCATGTCAGGAGATGTCTGCCACACCAGCTTTCCATCTTTTCTTACACTGACTAGTTATGGGTATATGGTAATGTAGGTGGCCAGATCTTAATTGTTCCCACCACAAAAAATATTATTAAACCATTAAATGGTGGTAACTGGGCTGCAGTATATACAAGTATCAAAACATATTTACACCTTAATTGGTATAAATGTACATGATGTTATGTGTCAGTTATACCTCAATTTTTATTTTTTTCTTAAGATTTGTTTTATAAGAGCTGGTGTGTAGGCCAGAGATACAGGAAGGAAGAGGATTCACCAGAGACAGAGTAGGGAACAGAACAAGCAAATCTACTGAAATATTCTCTGCTGAGGAGAGCAGCAGGTGACACAGGAAAGATCTGGGTGTGTCATGTTGGTAAGCTCCTTGACCTAGGATTGAATTAGTGCTGTTGTCGCTGGTGATAGCTTCATAGTGCAGAGACTTAACTCTTTGCGCCACCAGGAAAGCCTTACACCTCAATTTTTTTTTTTTTTGAAAAGAATATGTGGTCAGCTTTTAAGACTTGGCTTTAAAGTTTGTCTTTGACTCTTTTGTTTCTTTGTTTTTTCTATATTCTACATATAAGTGACACCATTCATTATCTTTCTTCTGGCTTAGTTTGCCAGAAGAGTGGTGAGTGTGCTATGTTAACTACACTCGAAAGGGATGATCCTGTACTTCTAAAAAGCAAAGATGTAAACCAATGGTACTGCAATAAAAAATAAGAACAAGACATAACTGAGATTGGATTGAGAAAAATAATACGAGCAGCAGGAGAGGTCTTCCAAGCCATAAGGTCACCTCCCTGACCAGGGATTGAACTGATGTTGCAGTGGCTGCAGATTGCTTACTGAGACCTAACGGCTTGCACCAGCAAAGAGGCCTTACTCTACAGATACTCTTAATGTCTGGAATATATTGAGAATTTCAATTACTTTTTTGTTGTTGAGCTATCGCATTTATATAAAATTCACCAATCATAGGTATACAGCTTGATGAATTCTTATGTTGGTATCCAATCATCGAAGTTAAGATGTAGACATTTCTAGCAGCCCAGATGACTCCTGTGCTTCCTTCAGAATACTTATCCCCATATAAAGATAACTCTCATTCTTACTCTAGTACCATAAAATAGTTTTATTTATTCTTGAATGTTATGGACTCATCCAACATGTATGCTTTTGTGTTTTATTTTGTTGTTGTTCAACATTGCTCCAAGAAACTCATCTCTGGTTAAAAGTAGTGATAGTTCATTTTTTTCTATGCTGCACAGACTAATATGCTATTTATTGAATAACTGAATGAATACTATAGAATACTATCTATCTAACATTAATAATTTATTGTAAGTTTTTATTGAGGTAACATTGATTTACTATGCTATATGATTCAGAGGTAGAGGTTCACACATTTTCAATGCATGTTACCACTACCTGGCGATATTTTTTCTTTTTTAATTTTAATATAATAGTTTATTTTTACATAATTTTGTGACTTTTTCCATCTCAGTTGTAATCTCCGTGGGTTTCCCATCACCATATCACTTGTGTGCCATCACTATTGTACAGTGCATTCCTCCCCACCCCCATTTTTTATCCCTTTCCCCACTCCATCCCTGTAAAATGTCTCTGGTATGTAGTTGTTCATTGTTTTTTTTTCCCCCTGGTCCTTTATGCTCCTGCTATGAGTGAAACCATCTGGTATTTTTCCTTTTCTTTCTGGCTTATCTCACTAAGCATGATCCCTTCCAGCTCCATCTATGTTGCTGCAAAATCCATGAGTTTATCTTTGTTTGATTGCTGAGTAATATTCCATTGTGTATATGTACCACATCTTTTTAATCCAGTCATCTACTTTTGGGTATTTGGGTTGTTTCCATGTCTTTCTAATTGTAAATAAAGCAGCAATAAACATGGGGGTGCACGTGTCTTTTTGAATCAGTGTTTTTGTGACTTCTGGGTAGATACCTAGGTGTGGGATTGCTGGGTCGTAGGGAAGCTCCATGTTTAGCAGTTTGAGAAACCTCCAAACAGTTTTCCATAGTGTTTGGAATAGTTTGCATTCCTACCAGCAGTGCAGGAGAGTTCCTTTTTCTCCACATCCTCACCAACATTTGTTGTTGCTACTTCTTTTAAGACATACCATTCTCACTGGTATGAGGTGGTATCTCATTGTGGTTTTAATTTGCATCTCCCTTATTACAAGTGATATTGAACAATTTTTCATATGCTTGTTGCCGCCCATATTTTTAAATAATCTCCCTTCTTTGAATCTAGATATTTAAGACTTTTTTTTTTTTACAAGATCTTATGGGTTATACAACCTCAGTCTATGTAGTTCATCCTCAGATCACAATGGTTAAAAATGGTAATTGCAGGCCCTCACTAGTGGTGCAGCAGGTAAATGCAGCACTAAG